TCTCTCTCTCTCTCTTTCTTCCTCCCCCCTCTCTCTCTCTCTCTGACTATCAGTCTATCTATCTATTTAAATATCTCTCGCCCTCTATCTATCAACCATCTCTGACCGTTCCTAAACCTCACCCCCAACCTATCTAATTTCCCCATAATCTATAATTATTAGAGACAACAGTACAGGTTAGCAGAAATAGAAACCGTGTTAAAAGGGTGCAGGTTTCTACGGTTACAAGGTGACACTAGAATCTCCAGCCAGTCACCCACTGTGGTTCTAAAATTAGAAACCAGGCAAAAGTATGGCATACCAGTTTACCTCCTACAGCAATCTCAAGGTATCAGTTCATCTGTGAATTCCAACGTCAAACACCTTCATGAAACATCATCAACAAACGTACACGGCATGGCACTATCAGTTACTTGAAAGGACTGTAAAATGATAATGTGCTGACGTGAAAATCAGAAACAATGTATATATGAGGCAGCGTGGTGGAATCAGGCTCTCGTCAATTTTTGAGCATGTAGAGTTATTGGTATCATCTTAAAGCTTGTTCACTTGTCTTTATTTGGATGAAAAAAAATGTCCATTTATCTTGAATACAGGTCGAGATATTTACGAAAGAAGGAGGTGGGGGTCACCTGTTTTCAGAGGTAAAATTAGTGAGAAAATGGCCGCCAAAGATTAGTTATTTCCTTAGTTTAAGAGTCCAGGGTAACTGAAAATTTACATTTTTTGTGCCTTTAATCAACGTTTTTCAGAAAAATCCGCTCAGAAATGAGTTCTTTAATGGGCATGAAAGGTGTTGGGTCGAAAAACCTGCGGAAAAATGCGCGTTTCTTCACTTTGATTATTTTGACGAGAGCCTGATTCCACCACGCTGCCTCACATTGTGAGCTGGGTATGAGAGAGGGTATCTGGGAGGGTGCGTATACTTTTTTCTTTCCTTTTTTCGAAATTTTGTGTGTGTGTGGAGGAGGGGGGGGTATTCTTTTACAGAAATGCGTATTTATAAGCTGGGGTAGGTTTGGGTGAAGAAGGAAGGGGTGACAAAGGGATCCTGTAGCAACAAGAATAATAAAATATTATTAGGCTAAACTTATCGTCAAGCAAGCAAAAATTTCAACTTTATAACATTTTACTAGCAATGCCCACCGAGCGCATTTTGTTCTGCCGATTGTTGGCCCCCGCAGCGGGGGTGTTTCATGGGACGCACTAACGCAAAGGTTGTTGTCTTCAACTCGCTCTCACGCCGCTTCTCGTGAATGGATATGAATGAAACTTGGCAGCCAATCAGAAAAGAGGTCAATCTCGTAGTATGCAGTTTGACAACATT